AGCCTACTTGGTCGTGGTGAATAATCTTTTTGATGTGTTGTTGAATTCGGTTTGCCATTATTTTGTTGAGGATTTTTGCATCAATGTTCATTAAGGAGATTGGCCTATAGTTCTCCTTTTTGGAGGTGTCTTTGCCTGGTTTTGGGATAAGTGTAATACTGGCTTCATAAAATGTGTTTGGCAGTTTTCCTTCCCTTTCTATTTCATGGAACAGTTTAAGGAGGGTTGGTATCAGTTCTTCTTTAAAGGTCTGATAGAATTCAGCAGAGAATCCATCAGGTCCTGGACTTTTCTTTTTGGGGAGACTCTTGATTGCTGCTTCAATTTCATTTTGTGTTATAGGTCTATTCAGGTGATTAATTTCCTCTTGGTTCAGTTTTGGATGATCATATGTATCTAGAAATCTGTCCATTTCTTTAAGATTTTCAAATTTATTTGAATATAGGTTCTCAAAGTAGTCTCTGATGATTTCCTGGACTTCCATGGTGTTTGTTGTTATCTCCCCTTTTGCATTCCTGATTCTACTAATTTGGGTTTTTTCTCTCCTCATTTTAGTCAGGTTTGCCAGGGGTCTATCGATCTTGTTTATTTTTTCAAAGAACCAACTTTTTGTTTCATTAATTCTTTGTATGGTTTTTTTGGTTTCTATTTCGTTGATTTCAGCTCTTATTTTTATTATTTCTCTCCTTCTATTTGTTTTGGGATTTGCTTGTTCTTGTTTTTCTAGGAGTTTGAGATGTATCATTAGGTCATTGATTTGGGATCTTTCAGTCTTTTTAATATATGCACTCATGGCTATAAACTTTCCTCTCAGACTGCCTTAGCTGTGTCCCATAGGTTCCGGTAGGTTGTGTTTTCATTTTCATTGACTTCCAGGAACTTTTTAATTTCCTCTTTTATTGCATCGATGATCCATTCTTCATTAAGTAATGAGTTATTTAGTTTCCAGCTGTTTGCATGTTTTTTGTCTTTACTTTTGTTGTTGAGTTCTACTTTTACTGCATTGTGGTCAGATAGTATGCACGGTATTATTTCTATTTTCTTATATTTGCTGAGGCTTGCTTTGTGCCCTAGGATATGATCTATTTTGGAGAAGGTTCCATGGGCTGCTGAGAAGAATGTATATTGTGTAGAGTTGGATGAAATGTTCTGTAGACATCTACTAGGTCCATTGATCTATTGCATATTTTAGATCTTGGATTTCTTTATTGATTTTTGTTTGGATGACCTATCTATTGATGATAATGGGTGTTAAAGTCTCCCACAACCACTGTGTTGGCGTTTATATATGCTTTTAGGTCTTTCAGGGTATGTTTGATGAAATTGGGTGCGTTGACATTGGGTGCATACAGATTGATGATTATTATTTCCTTTTGGTCTATTTCCCCTTTTATTAGTATGGAATGTCCTTCTTTATCTCGTTTGATCAATGTAGGTTTGAAGTCTACTTTGTCAGAGATAAGTATTGCTACTCCTGCCTGTTTTCGGGGCCATTGGCTTGGTAAATCTTCTTCCAGCCTTTCATCCTAAGCATATGCTTATTTCTGTCGGTGAGATGAGTCTCCTGTAAGCAACAAATTGTTGGATCTTCTTTTTAATCCATTTTGTCAAACGGTGTCTTTTGATGGGTGAATTAAGTCCATTAACATTAAGTGTTAGTACTGATAGGTATGTGGTGATTCCTGCATTTAGTTGTCTTAGTTGTTTGAAGGTTTGATTGTGTGTACCTAACTTGATGTTACTCTCTACTGTCTTGCTTTTTCTTATCCTGTGGTTTGGTGCTGCCTGCCTTTTCATGGTTAAGTTGGGTTCACTTTCTGTGTGCAGGATCCCTTGCAGAATCTTTTGTAATGGTGGCTTTGTGGTCACATATTGTTTTAGTTTCTGCTTATCATGGAAGACTTTTATTGCTCCATCTATTTTGAATGATAGCTTTGCTGGGTAGAGTATCCTGGGGTTGAAGTTATTTTCATTCAGTGCCCGGAAGATCTCACCCCACGCTCTTCTTGCTTTTAATGTTTCTGTTGAGAAGTCTGCTGTGATTTTGATGGGTTTACCTTTGTATGTTACTTGTTTTTTCTCTCTTACAGCCTTCAATATTCTTTCCTTAGTTTCTGAACTTGTTGTTTTAATGATGATATGTCGTGGAGTAGTTCTATTTTGATCTGGTCTGTTTGGTGTCCTGGAGGCCTCTTGCATTGTATGGGAATATCTTTCTCTAGATTTGGGAAATTTTCCGTTATTATTTTTGTTGAATATATTACGCATTCCCTTCGCTTGCACCTCTTCTCCTTCTTCGATGCCCATGATTCTCAAGTTTGGTCTTTTGATGGAGTCAGTGAGTTCTTGCATTTTCTTTTCACAGGTCTTGAGTTGTTTAATTAATAGTTCTTCGGTTTTTCCTTTAATTACCATTTCATCTTCAAGTTCTGAGATTCTGTCTTCTGTTTGTTCTATTCTGCTGGATTGGCCTTCCGTTTTGTTTTGCAGTTCTGTTTCGTTCTTTTTTCTGAGGTTTTCCATATCCTGGCTGTTTTCTTCTTTATGTTGTCTATTTTTGTCCTGAGTTCATTTATCCATTTATTCATTGTGTTCTCTCTTTCACTTTGGTGTTTATACAGTGCTTCTATGGTTTCCTTTATTTCTTCTTTTGCTTTTTCAAATTCTCTATTTTTTTGTCTTGGAATTTCTTGAGTGTCTCCTGTACATTTTGGTTGACCCTATCCAGTATCATCTCTATAAAATTCTCATTGAGTACTTGTAGTATGTCTTCTTTTAAATTATTCTTGTGGGCTTCATTGGGTCCTTTGGCATAGTTTATCTTCATTTTGTTGGAGTCTGGATCTGAGTTTCTGTTCTCTTCATTCCCCTCTGGTTCCTGTACTAATTTTTTGCTGTGGGGAAACTGGTTTCCCTGTTTTTTCTGTCTTCCCGTCATTGTCCTTGGTGTTGTTACTGTCCCTGTACTGTGTGCAATTAAGTATTTTCTAGCTTGTAATAATAACAATGGTAATATTTAGAATGGAAGAGTGAGCTGAGATGGAAAGCAAGAAGTTAAAGAAAAGGGAAAACAAATATACAGACAAGAGGGAGAAAGCAGAACAAGGTATCAGACAAGAGAGTTTCAAAGGTATAAACAGGGAGTGTTAGTGTACTAATCGACAGTAAGCTGAACAGACATTAGAGAGACAGAGAGAGGATTGAAAATCAAAGATAAAAAAATAAAAATAAGTAAATGAAAGTAATATATATATATAAATGAATTAAAATAAAATGGAAAATAGAAAATTAAAAAAAAAAAAAACCAAAAAACTTCCAAGTTTATATGCAATGCAGTTTCAGTCTTAATAATTTGTGTCCGTCTCAATCTCCAGTCCTGGAGTTGGTGCCTCAGATGTTGTTCTGTAGTTGTCTCATCAAAGGGGATGCATAAAGTAGAACAAAACTACACACACACACACACACACACACACACACACACACACACACACAAAAAAGCCCCACCAAGTGTCCCCAGTTCAAATGCAATACAGTTTCAGTAAGTTTTTCGGCTTGCAGGTGTAATTCGGTTGTTCTCTCATCAAAGGTAGGGAGAAAAAGAAAAAAAAGCGTCTGGAGACAGTTCTGAGAGTGGTATCTGCAACTGTGGCTTGCCTGCCTGCTGCTCTCAGCCTGTAGCTGGCGGCGTTATTTATGCAGATCTCTGGGGTGAGCTAGCACTCACCTGGTCCCACAGGCTTTGTTTGCTCAGAGTTCTCCTGTGTGGGAGCCTCTGCTACAGGCTTTCCCCTTTCCAAGCACTGGGAAAGGTGACACTGCCCCACGTTGTCAGGCCTGTGTGTTTATTTACAGTTCATGTGGGAGCCCCTCTCCTCTGAAGTTTTCCTCCCACTGCCACTTTCAGCAGCTTTCCTGCTCCTGCTTACTGGGCGGTGCTGCTGCTCCTGCCGGCCGCCATGTTTGTTTACAGTTCACATGGGAAGTGGGTCTTTCCTCCTCTCCTGTGGAGTTTTCCTCCCTCCTCCACTCTCACAAGCTTCCCCGCTCCTGGTTGCTGGGCACACGCCCCGCTCCAGCCAGAGGCTCTCCGGCCTGCCCGGCTTGTTTATTTACAGTCCCGGGAAGGATTCCCTTCCCCGAATCTTCAGCGCTCAGGGCGCCCCACCCTCTTTTCTGCGTGTCTTAACTGTTCTTATTGCTTATTACTCAGTTTCTCTTTTTTTCCCGGGTGGAGGTCAATCTGTCCAAGGGGCTATGCTGCTCTGGCCCAGGCTTGTCTGTGGGGCTACCGCGGTACCACGAAGCTCACCTGGTCCGCGCCTTCCCAAGCCGTCTGGGCGCCGGCCACTGGCGGCCCGGGGGCCCTCCTCGTTTCTCCGTTTAACGTGAAGTGGAGATTCTCTGCACTGGCTGGAGATGTGGAGCAGTCAAAGTTATGCCTTTTCTCAGTGATTATGCCTGCAAAGTGTGTCTCCAGCGTCTCTCCAAGATTTCACAATAGGAGGGTTGCTTTCTGCTTCCTACCTCTAGCCGCCATCTTGTTCTTCTTAAGAAGTTTCCTTGTGAAGCAGTTCTTTCACTAGTGAAGTAGACAGTGAAAATCTAATTGTGAGTGAAGAGTGTGAACTGATACATTCACCTCTGCAGACTGAGAAATATTTTCTCCCCTTAAGTAATTTTTTTCAATAAAGAAAAAATTCTAAGAAAAATTCTCCCTGAGACATTGAAAGATTATTTAGCATAAGCTATTGCATTCTGAAGTGAGTCCAATATTTGCACTGTTGATAGAAGTTGTAAGAATGGAAGGGAGATGAATTTTTATTTTTATATTTGTGTCTTAATATACAGTTATGTTTCACCTCTTTGTGTCACCTTCCATATTAAGTCTTTCATTATGGCAGTTTACAGAGGAAAGAAAATACAACACAGAGAAAAGAGGAAGGGAAGGAAATCATGACACCCTCCAGAGAACTCAGTCTGTGTGCTCTCTCCCCTGACAGCAGCAGGGTGTGCGTATCTTCGTCATGCTATACAAGGAGGTGGAGCTCGCACTGGGGATCAACAGTGAGTACAGCAAGAAGACACTGATGCGGCTGCACCCCAACATAAAGGTATTCCCAGGCGTCCTGGAGACCAGTATCTTTACATTCTGGAGGAGGTTTTCAGATTGGTTCTTCTCCAAGCAGTCCCCAGTCTGTAGACTTTCCCGATGTTGATTTTGACTAAATGAAATTGAGTCCTCTACATGCCCCTCATTGATGGGGGTCAGCTTAGCTCACATTGCTGTATCTTTGGCTCTGAGAGCTGAAGGTAATAGTTTAGCCAAGAGCATCCTTCATACAGTTGTTTCAGCATTCAAGAACTGTGTCAGGTTCTCACACCTGCCATTAAGATACTCCCAGAACCACTGACATGTGATTTTGCTGTGGAATTCTCTGATTGCTGTTAGCAGTCGATATCTGCTCTAGGACTTAAAATGCTTTTTAAAAAGTCAGTGGTACCTAGTACAAAATATTCAGAAAGTAACATGATAAGCAGTTTGAAATTTCACCAAAGGCCTGAAACCTATCAATAAATATCACCTACTTATTGAGATACACTGAGACTTAATGCATTAGCAAATCTTCAGCAGGCTTAAAATATATATACTTAGGTGTTTTTTAGTTAAAAATTCTCCCAAGAAATGAATAAACGTTCATTCATGATATTTCTATCCAGTATCTACTAAGGATGTAATTTTTTGAGATCAGCAACTGAGGAAGGTGAGGATGAAGCTATTAAAGGCACAGTTTTTATATGTTACTGAAATTAAACAGGTATTAATTCCAATTAGAGTGTTAACAACTTTAGGGTGTTAAATATAATCCCCATGGTAACCACACAGAAAATAGCTGTAGAATATATACAAAAGAAAATGAGAAAATAATTTAAGTATTCCATTACAAAAAGTCAACTAAGGCAGGGGTGGTGATACACACCTGTAATCCCAGCATTCAGGGGACTGAGGCAGGAAGACTGAGTGTTTGAGGCCAGCCTGAGCTCCATCGTGAGTTCAATACCAGCTTGCCTCAGCAACAACAATGAGAAAATAATCAATTAAATGCAAAGAAAACAAATATGGGAAATGAGGGATAAAAAAATCTAAACACCAAATAGAAAATAAATAGCAAATGACAGAAATAAGTCCCTTTAAACCAAGCTAATTTAAATGTAAATGGATTGAATTGTCTAACTAAAAGACAGAGATTGGCAGAATGGATTTAACAAACACAATCCAAGTGTGCAGCGTCTACACTGTCATGTAGATGCACTCGCTCGAGATGCAAAGACACAAGTAGATGGAAGTAGAAGGATGAAAGGGTATTCCATGCAAATTGTAACCAAAAAAGGGCAAAGGTGACTAAGCTAGATGAGACAAAAAAGATTTTAAATCAAAAATGGATTATAAAATACAAATCAGGATATTATATATTAAAAGAGTTTCAATACAGTAAGAAGATGGATGTAAAAATTATAAACATTTATGTATCAAATAATAGACCATCAAAATTTATGAAGGAAAACAGAATTGAAAGGGAAAAAAGACAGTTTTAACAATAATAGTTGGAGACTTAAAATATCCAACTCTCCACACTGGGTAGAACAACCAGACAGGAGATAAGTAAGGGAACAGAGACTTACTTGGTAAACTCACAGATCTCACCACGTGTGCAAAACACTGCACCCGACAACAGCAGCCCATGTGGTCTCAAGAGCACGTGGGACATTTCCAGGCGAGACCATCTGCTACCCAGGAACTCAGTCCTAGTGGGTTTGGAAAAGTGGATATCATGAAGCATCTTTGCAAACACAATAGGACGAAATTAGAAAGCAGGAGCAGAAAGAAAATGGGAATAGCCACAAAATTTATGGTAATTAAACAACATATAAACAAATGAAAATAAAATGGCATACCAAAATTTATAGGACACAGCAAAAGCAATGCTTAGGGGGAACTTTGTAACTATAAATGCTGTATTAAAAAGGAAAGTAAGGTTTCGAAATAACCACCTAACTTTTCCACTTAGGGAACTAGAAAAAGAAGAACAAACTAGATCCAAAGCCAGTAGAAGGAAGGAAATAAAAAATAGAGCAGAGATGGTTAAACAGAGGATAGAAAAATAGAATGTGGAACATCAACTAAACTAAAAGTTGATTATTGGAAAATGATATATCTATAATATTTGTATATATATGGCACATTTTGGTACTTGCTTTTAGTTATTTTTCTGATAAGGGCTCCCACTTTTTGGCAAAGGGTGGCCAAGGACCATAGTCACAGCCCTCCTACCTATACCTCCCACATAGCTGGGATTATAGACATACACCACCATGCCTGGTTTATCTGTGTAGATGGAATTTCAATAACTTTTTGCCCAGGCTGGCCTCAAAACTGTCATCCCTTCCTACAAGCTCCATCTCTTAAATAGCTGGGATTACAGACATTAGCTACTGTGCCCGACCAAGGAAACTGCTATCTGACCTATTTTATTATGACATGGAAGTCATTTTTAAAAATGTGTTATATGTGGGTTTTCTTTCCTCTCAAGGTGATGAGGCACCCGGATCATGTGTCATCCAGCGTCTACCTGTGGGCTCATCACGAGAAACTTGTCATCATAGATCAGTCAATAGCCTTCGTGGGTGGCATTGACCTGGCCTACGGGAGATGGGACGACAATGAGCACAGGCTCACAGACGTGGGCAGTGTGAAGAGGATCACCTCAGGGCCGTCTCTGGGCTCTCTCACAGTAAGTAAATGTTACCCTTGAGGAATTGCATCGAATGAGCACAATTTGTCCAAGTACGTGTTAATGACATGACTGAGCAATGGACTGAATGAGGGTGGCATCTCCCTGGGGGGCCATGTGTCAGATGGACCTGGTTTCATGTGCCAGCCTCACTACCTGGCAGGAGTAGCCCAGCACCTCATCATCCCAGCTGCTTCTCTCGTAAGAAAACACATCCAATGGAGTTTGCTGTCTCAGAGTCACCAACTTAACTTTCCATTTCAATTGAAGATTTATTTTCTATTTGGAAAAGAAAGTTCACAAACAAAAGCTGGTGAACAAAATGTGTGGCAATCAAGATTTAGGTGAAGCCACAGAAAAAGCCTTATTGCTGCTGGGCGCCAGTGGTTCACGCCTGTAATCCTAGCTACTCAGGAGGCAGAGATCAGGAGGATCGTGGTTCAAAGCCAGCCTGGGCAAATAGTTCATGAGACCCTATCTCAAAAAACCCTTCACAAAAATAGGGCTGGTGGAGTGGCTCAAGGTGAAGGCCCTGAGTTCAAGCCCCAGTACTGCAAAAAAAAAAAAAAAAACCTCATTAAAAGTAGCAACTAGAGCTGGGGTGGGAGCACAGGCTTAGCCAAGGATTTTAGGACTTTTCCACGTAAAGGTACACCAAAATAGAGTAGGTGACTTTGGGGTCACCTAGAGGTAATTCTGTTTGAGCAGAATGTTAACAATAACTTCTCAAAGTACCCATCAAACCGAGAGCTGCCCAAATATGTACAGGCGCACACCCGTGTGCTCGCCATCCCGGCTCAGTACTCCAGTGTGTCAGCGCGCGTGTGAAAAATTGTGACAGGCTCCATCTTACTGCTGAATGTGTTGTGGCTTTTCTGGGAAAACTGCAATTTAGTGGCAGGTAACAGGGAAACTGATTGACCTAGGAAATGCTTTGTGTTCATCAGAGGAAGACATTCCCAGCTCTGCTGTGAGTGTAGCTCTTGTCATTGTACTTGAGATAAAAGGGCCAATTGGAATGTAATCTCAGGAATTTGTCCTGCTGAAGGAGTCACCTGGAAGCCCTGGGTTCTTTGGGGGATTTGGAGGACGCACAGGAGTCCACCCCACCCTGTGGCTGGCCTCAGACATGCTGAGTCTGTCCTCGGGCTGCCACCTTTTGTCAACTGTCCTTGACATCTGTCCTTGAACTACAGCTTTACAGTGCAGCCCATCTTATGCAAGGTCTTTTGTCCTTTAAATCATTTTCTCAGGCTGCAATGACAGAGTCTATGGAATCCTTAAGCCTCAGAGGTAAAAACGAACCCATTAAAGATGGGCCTGTCCTGAAGAATGTGAATGATGCTGATTCCAAACTGAAAGGAATCGGAAAGCCCAGAAAGTTCTCCAAATTTAGCCTCTACCGACAGCTGTACAAACATCACCTGCACAACACAGACAGCATCAGCAGCGTCGACAGCGCCTCCAGTGAGTCACAGTCTCTGTGGGGAATTTTGGGGCAGTATTGGGGATTGAACCCAGGACCTCATGGTTGCTAGACAAATGCTCTACCCCTTGTGCTATACCCCCAGCCCTTTTGTTAGTTTGATTTTTTAGCATAGGGTCTCACTAACTTTGCCTGGACTGGCCTTGACGTTTTGATCCTCCTCCCTCAACCTCCTGAGTAGCTGGGATTACAGGCATGTACCACCATGCCCAGATTGCAGTCTTGTTTTTTAAATCCATCCTTCTGTAATGGAGTAAAACGAGCCAGCTGGAAAGGTTGCTGTATCATTCTGTTCAACAACATGCCATCATGGCTTTGTTTGCCTCATTTTTGAACCGATTTATGGTTTTACTCTCACAAAGTAGTCTTAACAACCAATATTCACATTTTAATGGTAGCAGGATGACAAAAGGTTTCTAAAATGTGCTAAGCTATAAAGGAAAAAGAAAATAATTTAGATGTGCTTTATAAACTTTTCTTAGAAATTTCATTCCTCAGTCTAGGAGTGGTGGAGCATAACTATAATCTCAGCCACTAGGGAAGGCAGAAATTGGGAGGATTGTGGTTTGAGGCTAGTCAGGGCAAAAACTTAGCAAGACCCCATTTCAATCAACAAGTTGGATGTGGTGCTGTGCTCCTGTCAGCGCAGCTGCTTAGGAGGCAGAGGAAGGAGGATTACAGTCAGAGGTGGGCCTGGGCCAAACCACAAGACCTTATGCAAAAAGTAGAGTGAAAAAGGGCTGACGATGTGGCCCAAGTGATAGAGCACCTGCCTAGCCAACAGAAGGCCGTAAGTTCAAACCACGGTCCCACCACCAAAAAAAGAAAAGAAATTTCATTTTTCTTCCCATCCAGAAATATATGAACACCAGCATCAGGTGTTCTCTATGTTATGAATTTACTATTCTTGGCAGATCTTTTAAAGCCCTGCAATTTTCCGTTGCAAAGAATCGTTTAACTGCTTCCATGAGCCTGCTTCTTTTAAAAATGATTAAATGTGCCTTCCAGTACGGAAAAGTTGATGCATAGATAATTCATATGAAAAATACATTCCTTTGTTAAAAAAAAAAAAAAAAGGCCCTCTCAACTTTCTCCAGGTGACTGTAATCACTACAGAAGCCACCAGAACTTAATCCATGGTTTAAAGCCCCACTTGAAACTCTTTCGCCCTTCCAGTGAGCCTGAACAGGGACTCACTAGACCCAGTGTTGGTAAGTGACGTGTGCGTGGCCGAACCCACAGGCTTCAGCTGTCATCACATCGTCTGCTGCATGGGCACTGGGTGTGTTTGCAGACTGGCTTTCTGTCCCACGGTTCTTGTGGCCACATGTGTTGTGAAGAGCCCGCTCTGTGCAAAGCCCAAGACCCCGCTCCCTAGGAACCTGCACTGCAGCAGTACAGGGAGAACATCAAACCGAACGCTCTCTCAGTGCTTGCCATGTGCCCCAGTGGTGTTGCTCAGCTCTGGAGGATGGAAGACTTCCTCTCTGCTGGTCCAGACAGCCCTTTTGAGTGGGGGCTTTGTAAGGCAGGTCTGGAAGTCATTTAATGGGGGAGGTGAGGATAGGAAGGCCCCGCAGTGAAGGAAAACATCAGTAGGAAATACCTCATTCAGGTAGGAGGCAGGGTGTGCTGTAGAGTGGGAAGATACACACAGTCACCTTTGGAGTTCCTAACAAAGTTGGGGAGACCTTTATTTGGTTAACAACCTTGAAAGCCCTTGGATGGAGATGTCACACTCTCCATGTGAGGAGAATCAGATAGTGAGGAATTAATTAATCAGGGCCTAAATTGTAGTGGACGGAGTGAGGGACTCAGCAGCTGGTGTGACGTAGGGATAGGCTGATGATAGGCAGCTGTCATATGGCAGTGGACCTCCAGAAGTTAACCTTCCTTGTGCTCAGCCCCTGCCATGGGCTGGCCATGCCTCCTGGGGGGGTTGTTACCTCACTCGCAGATGTGGAAACTCAGCCACCTGCCCAGGGAAGCCGCAGTCTGCCAGCATTTCAGTGCTCAGGGTTCAGATTTGTGACGTGGCACTAATGCAGGTTACTCCCAAGGCCAAGGTTCTCTGACATTGATTAGAAGATGAGCGAGGTAGAGCCCAACTAACTTGCCTGGACGTGAGTCACTGAGGCCAGCAAACACTAGTGCACTTGATAAACTAGGTCAGACTCAGCAGTGGCTCCCAGCATTTTGTAGGGAACCAGGGGTTTTTTGTTGTTTGTTTTCTAAGTGCATTAATTGGGCCAGGTTTGGTGGGTCATGCCTGTAATCTCAGCTATTCCCAGTGACTCAGGAGGTGGGGATAGGAAGGTCAAGATCCAAGGCCAACCTGGGCAAAAGCATGACAGCCTATCTGAAAATCAAACTGAAAGCAAAAGACTGGGTGCATGGCTGAAGTGACAGAACCTCGCCTAGCAAGTGCAAGGACCTGAGCTCCATCCTTAGTATCGCAAAAAATGCATTAATAAGCCACACATAATGAACTAAATCACGAAGAAACTGTTAAGTAAATTTGTATTTTGTAAATCACAACATCATCGGTACACATTTAAAAATGGAAGCCGTCTATGGGGGGCTGTCTCATTTCTTTAGCATCAGCTAGTACGGGATACATATGTGGCTTCAGGGAGACGCATTTGTAACTTGGATTCTAAAGCAGCGAAGCCCACACTGGAATCACAGGTGTCCTGGGACCTGCTCCCAACTCCTTGCTCTTAGACCTGCAACCCTGTCCCCCGGCTCGGCCTCTGCCTCTGCCTCTCCAGAGCCTTCCTCACTCTCAGACTGTTATGATTTAGCCTTGCCAACCACAGGAACGGAGCGAGTGGAAAAGATGGGAGTCAGAAACTGAATCTGCAGGTTAGCTCAGGCCAGCCCCAGGCCGAGGGGTGATGTCTACTGGTGATCTGAGGACATGGACACATTGGATTTTCTGTTTCGGGTAGAAAGTATCCTTGAGTTCCATTCACAACCCCCTCACCGACAAACTGGCTTTGTGTCTAATGCCACGTTGTTTATAGTAAGAGACAAACAGAATGGAAATGACCCAATGTCACAGTAGGGGAATAAGGAAGAACATCATGGATGGTTTGTCCCTTGATGGAATTGTGGAACCATTAAAACCTAAGTGTGGATACAAAAATAAGCAAAAAAGATTTAGTTGTTTAATCATGTAAGTGTGGTTGAGCTCCTGAGATAGGCTAATCACTGTTGTAGGAACTAGGAATGCCGTGAGCGTAACAGGTAAAATGCAGCTAACTACTTGAGGAACAAAGATGGAAACTGTATACACAAGTAGATCAAACGCCGTTTATCAGGCAATGATAATTACCATGGAGGACGAAGAGCAGCAAACGGGAAAGGCAGAGGGAAAGAGTTACCATTGTATGTAGTGTGGTCAGAGAATGCTGCTCTAGTGAAGTGAGTTTTCAGCAGAGACCAAAGAAGACTGAGCTGGCACCAGTGGCTCCTGCCTGTAATCCTAGCTACTCAGGAGGCGGAGATCAGGAGGATCACAGTTCAAAGCCAGTCCAGGCAAATGGTTCAAGAGACTCTATCTTGAAAAAACCCAACACATAAATGGCTCGTAGAGTGGCTCAAGGTTTAGGCCCTGAGTTCAAACCTCAGTATCATTAAAAAAAAAAAAAAAAGGAAGAATGAGAATGAGAGGCTGCGGGAGGAGGAGGTCCTGGGAGAAGGAACAGCAAGTGCAAAAGCACTAAGGCAGGAAGGGGTTGGTGTGTTCTAGGACTGTGGCAGGGATGAGGGAGAATGTTAGGAAAAGTCAGGGACGTGGAGGACTGGGTGGATTCTAGGCATTTTGCAGTCTGCTGGAAGAATTTGGCTTCTGAGGAAGCCACTGATGGTCTTAAGCAAAGGCAGAAAAGGTTAGGTTTTTACAGGTTCATTCCTCCGAGCAGACCATGTGGCAAATAGTGACAGAGCAGGTACTGGATACTTTCCCATAGCAGAGCTGGCAGTGTTTGCTGATGCCATGGGTCTGGGCTGACCTGGGGAGGCTATGTAGGAGAGAGGAGATCCTGAGTTTGAGACTGACTGCCGTGGTGTCCAAATGCACTCCGACAGAGGCTGATGAAGGACATTAAACATTGCTGGCTATACTAGGAAGCTGAGTCTTGAGCTGGTTTCTCTCCTTCCCATATTGTTGGCGTTGTTTACAGATTGCTTTTATACTCAAACATACATGTAAAGTAGGTTTTTTAATACAAGAAAAATCAGTTGGTTTAAAGAGAAAAACCAAAAGATAGTTTTCCCCCTAAAGCAATGCTTCTCAAATTCTATTCCTTAGAATAGAGTCGGTGGTCCCAGGACCCCCCCCACCTCTGTTGGCACTTGCTTCAACCACAAAACTCCCGCCTCTATCTGTTTTATATATTGGAGTTCCTTGCAGAAGGACAATTTAGGAGCATGGCTCTGTGTTTAAATAGTGTGATGATGTTAACTCAACCCTAAATGAAGCATGGGGTGACCCTCGGTTGAAAATGTGAGCGTGCACATTCCCTTGAGTTAGTGGCTCCTCCTCCTGAGAACGAGCAGGCCTCCTCTCTGCACTGCGCCTCCCCTGAGTGCAGAAGGCCATGTGGAGGCCAGCCTCCACACTCAGCTCCCTATAACAGGGAGAAATCGGTCTCCAGTACATGCAGGACCACTGCAGGGCTTTAAACAGAAAGCCTGCACTACATCAATTCATTTTGAGAATGCTTGGTGACCATGGTAGATTTCTGTAATATAGATTTTAATTCAGAGCTACTCAGCCATTGTCAAGAGTTGCTTTTCTTTCAGAATTATGTTGTAAGAGGGAGAATTTCAGGTTGACATTGCTTTGCTTGACACTATTTTAAAAGGGTTGAATTTTACTCCTCTTATACTCAGCAACTGTTTGATGATCTTTTCTTTATAAGCAATAGTAAATAAATAAGTGAGCAGGAAAGTCATTTTTGCAATTCAGTTTGCAGTTTAGGTTTTTCAAATTCCAATATGCAAGCAGGAGATAATGAATAGTAAGTTAAGCCACCTCTAAACTCTTCTGAGGGATTCAGTGTATAGGATGTAAGACTTATCTTGTGCTGGCAAAAAACAGATTATCTAATAGTGAGCATGACTTAATATTTTAATATTAAATATTTAAAATTTTATCACATAGTACCACATTGTTTCACCAAGTGTCAATACCTTTCCTGCAGGTGAAACCTTCTAGATGTAAGTCCATAACCCTTGTCCATAACTTGAAAATCCAAAAAATTTTAAAACCAGAAGATTTTTTAAAAACAAATACCTCATACAGGACCATTATTGAAACTGACCTTGAATATAGATACATACTCAGAAGATAAGAGACTACAAAGGCAGAAAACAGGCATTTCAGGCTGACCTTGCATCTTAAGGCACAGACATGGGAAATGCCAAAAGTATTTATTTCAACACCCCAGACCTATGTATGGAGCAAGGTAACACATAGAACACATAGAGATGTACATTCTCTTGGATGGAATCCTTGGGTCAGATGGGCTTCAGAAGCCAGAAGGTTCTGGATTTTAGAGAGACATCATACCCTCTACTGTGCTGCACTCCCAGGAGGATCCCTGGAATACGTGGAATGGAAGCAAACCATTTACATTCGTGCAACACCAAGAGGGATCCATAAAGATAGTGAATAATTTCTTGTCAGTTCAGGTGAGGTTATGCTAACAGGTGAACTTTGGAAAAATTGTATTTTCAAAGCTTTGGATTGTGGTTAAGGATTATTTTGTGTAGATTGGGAGGTGAGGTCTACCTAGACCAATTTCTGGTGGGCTCTGCAAGTCTGGCTGACATGGTGCCCTCCTGCACTAAATGTTAGAGCATCCTCATGGCAGGGTGTGTGTGTGTGTGTGTGTGTGTGTGAAGTAAGGGTGGGATTTTATGTTGCTTATGCAATAGACAAAGTGAGTCTGGCTGGGCTGTGCCAGTGGGCCCAAGATTCAAGAGAATGAGAAGCACTTTTTCTAAAACAAGAGTCAGCAACATTCCAACATGGTTGGGAAGGGCGTGGAGAAGACAGTGGGGAGGAGAGGAGCAAAGGCAATTGAGAGGTTGATTAACTGAGAAGAGGAAGCAGAAGCTTCCTGGGAGGACTCGATGTTATGGGGATGCTCAGGACTTTGTGGTGGGTGTGATTTTAAAGTTTTCAAGGTTAACCATGTCAAACAAGGTGCTGGAATTGACTATAGATCTGGTGCCCAAAAGAGAAGCCTGCCTACAGGTGCAATTAGGAGTGTTATAGGAAAAGATAAGAGAAACTTGGGGGAAATGTGGAAGTGAGCAGGAACCAGGAAAGAAGGTAAAGAGGGGAAAGCTGGAGAACTGGTAGAAGAATAGAGCCTTGGAGGCCAAGAGGGCCTGGTAAGTCCGCAGGGCAAGAGCAGGAAGATACCCTTGTCTTAAAGTTCAGCAGCCAAAATCTGAGCTGCTGACAGAGGAAAAATTAGCATGAGACACCCAAAGACAAGGCAGATGCAATTATGAAGTCATTTGGGAGCTAGATTCAGCCTAATGAAGGCCCTGGGCTCAGCGTCGCTGATGCCAGGGGAGCCCTGGGTCTGCTCACAGATGAGAACACTCAGATATTTGAAATAAAAGTTTAGGTCTTGGCTAGAAACAAACACCTGTTGGAATTATGAGCAGTTGAATTCAGCTAGAACCAAGAGAATTTTCTGAGACTTAGGAAGTTGCTTTTTTTTGTTTTCCTTATAACCAATTATTACATGAAAATTAAATTTTTAAACAAATGAGTGTCGACAACCATAGCTTAGTTTGTCAATTGTTGAAAACAAATTTTATGTATATGCATTTATATATGTACATGTATTTATTTTTAATTTGGAATTTGAACCATTGTATTTGCTCCCCTTTAATTTCTTTTTTTTACTCTCTCATTTGTTATTCCTTTTCTGTTAACAATGTGCCATCCTTGCTATTAAGCAGCAACAGGTGACAAACAGACCTGCCAGTGCTTTGGTCTCTCAGTCCAAAAGAAATCACAGCAGGAAAAGAAACCACAGGAGAAGTCAGTAGAAATGTACTGTTCACCTTAGTCTTGTTAGCTGTGGGCATTTAAGCCATTTTTCTTTTATAGACAATTTCAATACTTTTGGAAGGTTAATTATTCAGTTTGAGATATAATATCAGTTTGTGTGTGGTGATTGCACAATATTGTGTTCTGCAGATATTTATTCATCGCCTCCTGGATGTCAGTTGCTACATCAGACAGTGGGTACAGTCCCCACTCTTGAGGAGTTTATTGCATCCTTATGCAATTGTGTCACAGAGTCAGAGGCCTTGGGGGTGCACTTCTCAATGGGACAAGAACAGTGCTAGTGACCACCTCTCCCTACAGAGATCTGGGAGATCTCTCTAGGACAGGCGACAGCTGATATGGCTTTTGAAGAATGCCTAGGAGATCAGGCCAAGGGGAGGGAAGAGCATTCCAGGCAAAAAGAATAATGTGCAAGCCAGATGTTGGCAAGGCACACTGGACCTGTTGAAGCACAGTAGAAAAAATGCGGCCTGGTGGGGCCTGGGGCTGGGTGGGGGGAAAGAGGACCAGAAAGATACATTGGCTTGGGTTTAGGAAGGAGCCTTGTGTGCTCACAAAACCCTTAGGACTTGAACCTCCTAAAGACAGTGGGTGATCCTAGAAGGCTTTTAAGCAACAAGTTTGCATCTTATAAAGACAGTTCTGGGACAGTGTGGTGGCGGTGGGGAGGGGGTGGCCACTGTAGACCTCTCACTAGCTTCTTCAAACAGTATCATTTATTCATGCAACAAGTACTTCTGCACCCCACATCTATTCATCAAGTGCCTCTTTTGCCCAAGCGCTGTTTGTGATTTGTAGTTCTGCTGGTCTTCCTGCTTTGTTGCCTCAGTGGTTGACATAACCCTTAAACTTACAAACTACTGAACTCAAGGCACTTGCCCTTATGTAAAATGGTCAGTAAAGTTCTTTGTGAAGCCTTGTGAACTGCTGCTTTTGTGCCTTGACTGTAAGCTTCTGTTTGTTGGGTTTTATGGATGCCAACTGTGATTTTAGAAATATAAAATGTTAGAGACCAAAACATCATAGCAGCCGTCTAGGTCAAATTCCTCCTTTTACACATAAGGGATTTATGACCCCAAAGGTGAAGGTCAGTGTCACATAACTAGTTAATGCCAGGGCTGGCACACGGACTGTCTGTGAACATGAGGTTTTTTGTCTTTGCCTCTGTGTCTTGTGCTTTTTGGCTCTTATCTGACTGTAGTGGTCTCTGGATGTCCCACCAAGGGAGTTCTTTCTTCCCATTTAGCCCTGTGACCACGTCTTCTGGAGATCTGGTGGCTGGCCAGCTGCCTGAGAATGTTAAATTTCATTGTCCACTGATGACCCTGGCTGTGGCCCCAAATGTGTACTAAAAAGAAACATGCTGGAGCTGTGAAACTTGTCAGCCCACAGCCTGTAATCAAGTGGACACAGGTCGCCCTAGTTACAAGTCTCAGGAATAGAAGCTAAGCCACGTGTAGGTGTTTAGTAAGTGAGAGGGGGCCTCCCTCTCTGCCCTGACCCAGGGTCTCTGAGTCCATCTTGCTGCATCCACAGACACCGGCTCCATCCGCAGCTTACAGACAGGTGTGGGGGAGCTGCATGGGGAGACCCGGTTCTGGCACGGAAAGGACTACTGCAATTTTGTCTTCAAAGACTGGGTTCAGCTGGACAAGCCTTTTGCTGGTGAGTATCGTGGGGCTGACTGCATGTTGAGTTTCGTCTTTTACTTTTGAGCATCTTAAAAAGTAGTGCGTGTGTGTTCTCAGTGCCTTTTGTGGGGTGGTTTTTGCTTTTTTTGGAAACTTCAGTAAAATTTTGGAAACATGATTTGGTCATTTATTTAAGGACTTTTCCTTGAAATTACAATAAAAAGGAATAGGAAGCTGACCTGTTTGAAACCTCCAGGTGTCCTAAAACATAGTTTGGACTAACAATCTGTAATTTTCTGAGAGAAGCTGCCTTTCTTGGATCATCTTCTTTTATGCTTATTCTCCCCACTTTCTAGCATTAGAATGGCGTCTTTTCTCATTGCATTGTGCTAAGAGGAGGTAAAGATGACACTGCAGATGTGGCCTGCCAGAACAAAACAGAAAAATCTATCAACTACACAGCCTTAGACAATTTTTACCCACTCACATCCTGCCTTGTCTAGTGATTCATACTGGGTAAAATGGAGCCCTATTTGGGGACAGTGCATGGAGGACTATGTTCCTCCATGTGAGATCTCTGCCTCCCTTGATTATAAAGCTGATTTTCCAGCCAAGCCAAGAAATATGCTCATAGTTGGCACTAACTCATTTCCTTTTACATAGCACAGTGGAGTCTGTCCCTATCACAGAAGTTAGTGACAGATGGCTGCCTGGTGCACCTGGGCAGATTTCATTGACAGGTACTCCACTCCCCGGATGCCCTGGCATGATATTAGCTCTGTGGTCCACGGGAAGGCGGCTCGCGATGTTGCAAGACACTTCATCCAACGCTGGAACTTCACAAAGGTACTGGACATTGTTACCTTGACTCTGTCCACGTGATGAGGGGCAGAAACCCTGAGGGTTGGGAAGAAGGGGCCTCTGTGGCCACAGCTGTGACACAACTGCTGTTGGTTCTTCATCGTCAGAATGCCCAGTGTTTTAATGCCTACCAGCGTTAAAAAAGAAGAAGAAAAGCAAGCACCCCTGAACTTCCACAGCCCGGACAGTTCAGAGTGCAGAGGGACAGTTCAGAGCTGCGTCAGGGCCTATGGTTTTAATCCTTTCGACCTCTTGGGCTTACAGTATTGATTGAGCACTTACTGGGTTGGGATCAGTAGTTATGGGGAAGGCTACTGCAGGGCCTAGGACCCTTGGTTAGATAAGAGCTCGAACTATAAAGCCCCTCCCATCCTGGCATCGTGCTGCCCTTATACTAGGACCCAGTGCTGAGAGTTGGTTCTGAGCAAGGAGAGCAGCATGAGGTGCGCTTTTCTTTTCTCAGATGGTGACCTCTGTACTACACCATCACTGCTCAGAACTTACCCTCACATTCTTAAATTCAGTGCTTATCACCCAGTGTTGTTAGAACCCATGCTAGTTACTTGAAATAATGAGGCATTATTTCCCCATCACTTAGTTATATGAACAACTAAGAGTCTTACTTTATTACTCACATAAATGTAACATTTAGTGGATGCACTAGTGGAAATATTTTAAACAAAAATTTAGAGAATGTGGGATAAACAAAGTGATACTACTTTTAATTGTACTATCAAAGATAAAAAAGAAAGTTAAAATCTGCAATTGAACTTGGATTTTGTTGTTGTTGTTGTTGTTGTTGTGCTGAGGTTTGACACTTGCTAGGCAAGCACTCTGTCACTTAACCCACTCCACCAGCCCTTTTTGGTGTTGAGTATTTTCAAGATGGGGTCTCAGGAGCTATTTGCTCAGTGTTGGCTTCGAGCTGAGATCCTCCTGATTGCTGCCTCCTGAGTAGCTGGGGTTACAGGTGTGAGCAGCCGATGCCTGGCTAAATTGGATTTTTTTTATACTTCTATGCCCTAGTCCTGGGGAGAATAAATTGGTACAACACCAATCAGTTGTTTGTTTGTTTGTTTGTTTGTTTTTTAAGCATGTAGTCTCCAACCCACAAAAACTATTTCCAAGTATTTAAACTAGAGAAATAATCTAATATGGTAACTGATTTTGACATTGCTTCTAATAATTCAAATATAATTGGAAGCAGATAAAATATTCATTAATAGGAATTTCTTAAACAAATGAAGATTCTTCATACTGTTTGACTTGTTAGAAATAAAACTGCTCAAAATAAAATTTGCTCTTAAAAATGAAATAGTGCTGTCTTCCTATGGTGACAAAGCCACAGCAACATGGAATATTAGTTTTCAAAATAACAATTCCATTTTTGCAGTTATGTGCCAATATAACTATAAATTACATTTAATATTTCTTTAGAACTATGAAACAATGCTTGCTTATTGCAAAAGGTAAAAGAAGGAAATATGGAAGACAGAAAACAAAAATCAGTGATGCACAGCCTTTCACTTAGAAACGTCCATCGATAGACACTTTTACTTTTTCAAATGAACCTGAATTTGCTTTTGTAATTACAAAGCAGGGAAGAATGAACCTCTTGTTCATTTGAATTGTTTTTTAAATATGTTTTTCTTTCTTTGTTTAAAGATTATGAAACCAAAATACCGGTCCCTTTCTTATCCTTTTCTGCTTCCGAAGTCTCAAACCACAGCCCATGAGCTGAGGTACCAGGTGCCTGGGGCTGTCCGCGCCACTGTGCAGGTAAGCTCGGCTTTGCTTTCTGCCACGTGCTACGAGGTAGCCTTGCTGACACTGGACTAAGTGCACATTCTACTGGCTTCAGATTTTTCAAAAGGACACCTTTCCCAAAGCAAATCTGACTGGCTCTTTAAACTATAGTCTTATTTTTCATATTTGTGTATGTTATATGGGTTCAGTTCACAGTCTTTCTAAAATTCATTTTGGCAGATATGTCCTCAGAAGATGCCAGAGTCAAGGAATGACTGTTCCCATAATTCCTTGTAAAGTCACACTAGCAACAGGATACACAGTAAACCCGGGGTTGACTCTGCTTAAGCCCCAGGAGTGTGGTGAAACTTTGCACCTGGGAAGCTGGTTATTGTTTGATCTAATTTTAGTTCTTAATTAACTAAATGCTTTTTTTTCTTGTTGTTTGTTTAATCTCAGGGCCTCACGCTTGCTAGGCAGACGTTCTCCACTTGAGCTATGACCGTAGCCCCTTTTTGCTTTAATTTGTTTCTCAAATAGGCTCTCGACCGTTTTGCCCCTGCTGATCTCAATGCTCCTACTTCCACTTCCCATGTAGCTGGGATTACAGGCATGCACCACCACACCCAGCTCCCCAAATACCTTTCAGAGGTTCTTTTAATGGAATAGGAATTTGCTTAATAGAGTCACACAATTTTACCACACCCAGGCCAATCATTTCAAGTTTCAAGTAAGAAAATTCAGACTCAGTGTGGCACTGAGGTTTATCAGGCCACCCAGCTAGTTATTGACAGAGGCAGAGCTTGCAATCCTAAAATTGTTGAGTGTTAGCCAGTCTGCTTCCTCCAGGACAGCTCCCAAGTGTCTTGAGATAATGTAGGGTCAGAGTGAAGAGGAGCCACCTTTGCCAGTGCTTTGGTTCCAAGTCTTCCCTATCAGCATCAAAAGCACCACATAGGTGAAGATCCAGCAGTCTGTTACTCACCTTACCGACATGGCCTTAAATTGCTCAGACAAGGATTCTAGTGAATGTGATTTTATAAACGAAATGCCCAAATCCATTACTTTGCATTATGTACAAGTAGACATGTATGCATATAAGAAATAAAGGTATTTCAGGGCTGAAGGCATGGCTCAAGTGGTAGAGCGCCTGCCTCAAAAGCATGAAATCCTGAGTTCGAATCCCAGTACTGCAAAGAAAGAGAGAAAGAAAGAAAGACATTTCAGACCAGAAATAAAATGGCAAAACAATAACAAAAAAAAAGCCACTTGATAAAACTACCTCTAACATAGTTAGTAATCCCAGTCTAAGAAGACAGCTAATTTCAATTTGGAGGCACTGGCAGTTGTGCATTTACACTCGAGTTGCTGAAAATCTCATGAAACTGTTTAATTTTATTTTGTATGGAGGAGGAAAAATACTTACGCTAGAAGATGAACTAAGAACCTTGGTATTAAGAAAATAAGATGACTTAAGATTTGAACTTGCCCTTGCTCAGGGTGTTGGCCCAGCCCTCTGCTGCTGTCCTGGTAAGGCAGACCCATACTCTACGAGATGCCTCTTCATTTGCTCCTGCCTCAGTGGGTGTTGGCTTAGGGATGGGAGTGGCTCAGAGGACCTTTTCTGCTGAGCCCGTATGTTCGTCTCCACTAAGTTCATGTGCCCTGGACTCTGCATCTAGAAAGCAACTAATTTAAAGGAGCATTTACCAAGACACATTCATCCATTGATTCAGCCAACATAGGTTTATTAAGTGCCACCTGTTTACACAGTGAAGTCATCAAAGCATCCTTGAGTGTTGAGGAAATCCACACAAAAGGATTTCTCTGCCTCTGGATAGTTAATTGGCTGGGGAGAGGAAACCATGTTGTCACTTAGTGGTGCAAGGTGTAGGTTCTGAAAGTATGGACTTGCATGCTATGAGAGTTTGCTGAACAGGAGGGAAGAGCTGGGTCTCTTCTCTAAGGAATAAGACCACCTGCTCAGGACACAGGAGGACCACAGTTGAAAATCCTTTGCTCTTGGAGAGCAATAATGAAGATAGACAGAAGAGGTCAGATAAGGTGGCGGGAATGCTAGCCTGGTGAATTTCAACCTGGCCCTGGAAGAAACCTGATACATAAACGTTTTATAACAATTAACCTAAGAGAGTTTCCTAAACTGAATTTTGCCTGTGAAATATAGAGCTCCTAAATATTCCATAGAAAAGGTTTCCAGGGACAATAAGTTTTGGCAGATTTACTTAATATAGGATGGTTTAGTGCCTTTGTTAAGCTAGTGTGTTACAAACCACTAAGTGGGAATGTGTGGGAGTGTTCCCCAAGTTTATTTGAGAGGACCTCTCATTTTATTTATACTCATCTGTTTCTCTCTGAACAAACACTCTGGTACCTGAAGTTTGTACATAGGAAGAGTTTATTAGACTAGTCAGAGGATGAAATCAAGCAACAAGGAGAGAGGCTGTTTAAGTAACACTGCAGGGCCAAAGTATAAATGGAAGGAAGGGAAAAATAGGAAATATTTTTTGAGGAAAGAGATAAAGGGACATGGTGACTAGAAACTGACTGAAAACTAGGGGCAGAGGAAAAGTTAATTAGCTCAATGTCATTGGTGGAGCCTCAGAGATAAATAGGACACAAATGTCACTGAGGACCTCAGGGAGCTGAGCAGTCTGCTCTGGGTGATACAAATTTTGCAGTGTGATAGTGGGTATAATAAAGAATCTAAAAGTGTTGCTAGGCAGCACTTCTGGAAACATAGGAAAATTGTCCAGCTGAATAAAATAAAATAAATTCTCAAACTATCAGATCAGAAAAGCACAATGGAGCGTGGTATGAAGATTCTAATAGATAGCATGATGGGTGCTGTGGCTCACGCTTTTAATCCTAACTACTTGGGAGGTTGAGATGAGGAGGATGGTGATTCAAGGCCAGCTTGGGCAAATAGTCCGTGAGACCCCCATATCCAAAATAAGCAGAGCAAAATGAACTGACGCTATGGCTTTGCAAGCTCAAACCTCAGTCCCACCACACACAACAAAAGATTCTAGAACAGCATGTGACCTCAGTCAGTCATCTCCCTTCCCTAAGCCTCCGTTTTCTCATCTTAAAGTTTTATGGCTGGTGTGACTCATAGCTGAGCTCCTGTCAGATATTTAAGTGGAATCTTTTAATTGAACATCTTTAATAAGGAGGAATCATTATAGTTGTATCAATTACCCTTTATTCACTCCTCTTGATATACTTACGATTCCTCATAAGATAAAACTTAAATAAATGTCCACCACAGATACACCTCTTAATCTTAAAATATTAGAAGCCACTGTGCAGAATTTGTACCTTGATAATTAAAGTTGTTTCTATGGATCTTTGAGAGAAAATGAAAATATCTAGGCAGATTAAAACGTCATAGATGCATTTAGTACATGGTACTGAAAAAGAAGGTTAAAATTGTGAGGAAGAGTAAATTACAAAACGAACTCGTTAGTGAGCGCTGTACTTCCAAGATTATAGGATTATAATTGCTTTTATCCTCTTGGTCCTCAAAACCTGATATTTCTATAATTAACTTTTGTCATCTCAGTCCCCAAAGTACAGTCTACCTCCAGTCTGAAGGAAGTGAAGGCCACGAGGTAGGGAATGAGCTGGCTACTTTCAGGATCCCACATCAGTTGCCAGCTTTGGGCCTTAGTGTAGGGTTTGGCCCCTTCTCCTACCCAGGCCTCTCTCAAGATTTAGGCTTAATTTTGTATTTATAATTTTTTACAAATTATTATTTTTTAAACTACAAGTCTTTTTTCGTTTATTTGTTTTTTGCAGTTGTGAGGTTTGAATTCAGGACTTCACGATTGTTTGCTAGGCAGGCTACCATTGGGCCACACTGCCAGTCCAGCAAATTATTATTTTTTTAAAGAGCCCTTCCCTCTAATTTTTCAAGTGTTAAACCTAGCAAAATCTGGAACTTTACTGGCTTTCAGTAGGTGTTTTTAGAAATGGCTGAAATAAATAGTTGTGAAAGCAGTTGACACAATCAGGAAGTGCATCTGTTTTGAAGACAAGAAAGTCAGAAACTTAGGAAAAAACAAAACAAAGCAAAGCAGGGTATTAACCCTGTTTTGTTTCTCCTTCATTGTCAATTCTGACTATAATATTTAATTTTCCTTACATTGCTCGCTGGCTCTAAGCACTTACACTGTTCCAGCCATTATTTTTTTAAGTCATGAATATAAATAGTGCTTAGAGGGTGAGAACAGTAATATAGACCAATCTCCAGTTTTCCAAAGAATCCAGAAAGGCACAAGGAGATAGATGGCTGGCCTCTCACTCTCTTAGCTACCATATAACAATGGCCAAATGACTGTTATATACTCCATTGACAAATTTAATAAATTATTAAATAATAAATTATTAATAATGTTTAATGTAAATATAATATATAATATATAATGTATATATGCAATATAATGTAATATATAAACACAATAAATAATTATTAAAATTATTAAATAATAATTATTAAAAATAAATTATTTAGTAATTATTAGATTCATTGATTTCTAGCATAGTTTCTTTCATAATATAATTTACAGGTCATAAGCTTACTTAATCATAAAGAATCAATATGATGTGACAATTAAGAGATAGATTCTAGAGTCAGGCTGTATTAAAATCCAAGCTCTGCTGCCTACTGGTTTTGTTTACTTTGGAGGACTGGCCTCCCTTCTCTGTTTCTGTTCTCTCCATCTGCAAATCAGGGTTAATCATAGTGCGTGCCCCATGGGTGATCAAGGGTAAGAAAAGCATGCCAAGCACCGAGAAGAACGCACTGGTCTGTGCTCTGTAAGGATCGGCACTTACACACTCTCCCTTGCCTTTCGAAAGTTCGCAGCAAAGACATTGACATATCTCTGGAGGGAGTCACTAGACTGGCTCTAGATAAAAATCTTTATACCACATGCTTATTGCCATGGAGGAGAAGGGCATTTGACATGACATAATAAATAATAAACAACTTATATCACTCTTTCATCTGC